AGCTGAGGCGGCGGCGGTGGGGGGGGGGGGAAGCCGCCGGCCAGCGGTGGCTGGTGTCAGCAGGCATAGCTCAGAACTCCCATTATTTCCCCTTTTTGGGTGCCTCGCGTGAACATGAAAAGCGGGATCAATATCAGGTGCCATTTCCAAACCTAATAAACCTCCTCTAGGATAATGACATGTGTTAACTAAGTAAAAAAATGACGTAGAGGACCTTAATTGCAGCTTTCCCATGTCTATCAAGAGAAACTTCCCTCCCTTGCAGGTGAAGGAAGGGAACTGGAGGAAAATGAGTGGGGAAAATAGCTGAAAAGAGTTCTAGAGTGTTTGATGCCTAGTGTGTATTCTAATGGCTCTCACCATTCTTCTTGTGCAGATCACATATTTGAAAAAGTAAATCCTGAGATGGAAAAGCTGGGATACGAGTGCAAGTGCCTTGGAGGAGGGAAAATTGATCATAATAGCAAAGACAAGAAAATTAGGGTATTTGGGCTCTCTACAGTAAGTGCATCTCTTGTATTCCTTTAAATCATTTCGTCTGTGATGTTCTGGGACTTTTGTTTTATAGTATGGCTTTCAGCAGTTTGAATCACAGTGTAAACATTAACTGGAAAACTTGCCTGGCTCACTTGTGAGATAGATTAGAAAAGCACTGTTTTTAGGGGCCGGAGACCAAAGCAAAAATAATAGATAACTTAATTCTGATTAATATCTTGATTATAACCTAATGCTGACTAATATCAGCATTAAGTTATAATCAAGACTAAAGCTGGAAGTTAGCGTCTCTTGACTCAGAATGTGTTTGTCTTATTGCTAGAGCAGGAATAATCCATTTGTTGCTCCAGGGTCTGGATCCAGCTATTGTGTGATCTTTATTTGCCAATAAAAATGTTGATTGGTAGTTGACCAGCTAAATTGTGAATGTTGTTCTGTATATGTGTTGAGTGAGAAGAGTAGACCCAGTTTAGCTGTGGTGAATTTTTAGTAGGTGAAGATGTAGTTTCACATAAATGAATTTTGTGGGAATAAAAGTAACTTCTAAGAGTGTGGAAACTAGAGCATTTTGTCACCTGTTAGTGTTCTGTGTAAGTTCAATTTCTTTATGAAGGACTCAGTAAGTGGTAATGATTTCTTGAATTCGGGAAACATACTGTAATCTGTTTCTAGGGTTGCTTGGTGATGAAATGTAGCTACTTCCATAGTAGTACTGTGAGTAAAGATACTAGGTTTCTAATGTAGATAAGAACAAAATTATATTAAGTTAATTGAATTTTTTGTAGAATGTGATGGTTACTTCAAATCTGCTTACCTTAACTGGATGATCAGTGAAAGTTTGGGCCTTGAATGTGTTAAGCATTTTTAAATGTTAGTACTGCTTTTGTTCCAAGATGACTCGCTACCTGGAATCACATGAAAAAAAGAACTCTTTAGGATTTATATGGGGTGGGAAGGCAGAGTATAATGCTTATTCTGAAGTCTTGTGCCCATTATAACTGCATTTTTACGTGAGACTTGACACCTCTTATTTCAGCTGCCAGTTTAGTGTTAGATGCAGCAATCAAGTCTTGCTCTTGTAACGCAATGTCTATGGAATATACCTGGTTTCTCTGCTTTTGGTACCTTGACACTTACAGATGAGCACCATGTAAAAAGCAGAGTTTTATTACTGCGAGGGCTTCTGTCAGGCAGAGACTGTGGAAGTTTAGAGGACCTCAGCAGCAGGTCAGAAGTTAGTATATTAGTTACATTGGTTTAATGCTTTTTTTAGTTGGAGATTTGTTCTCAGACTCTGAAACAGCAATATCTTGGTCTGTTATAAAAACCAGAGAAGTCATTGTTGTCTTTTGAAGTAGATGCTGTACTATTATTTGCAGAGCTGGATGGGGTCTTCAAAATGCAAGAGTGATCTGTAGGTCTGTTGTTTTGCAACTGACAGTATAAACCTGCTGTATTTCTGACACAACTGTATTATTGTATTTTTGAAAAGTTTGCATTTTATAATGGATCAATAATTTTAACCTGTGTAGTTTAAATGCTGGCTTACTTAAGCTGTCCCTCTTTGGCAGAGTCAGTGGTGAATAAGAGTACATGTTTTGATAATGCAATCTTGAGCTCTTTTCAGTCTTCCAAGTTAAATGTTTCATGTGAAATATTACCGGAAAAAGAAAGTAACCTGCAAATCACAGGTTTTTATCAGAAGACTGCACTGTTGTGCACTAAAGGCTTTTTAACAGGGAAAAAAATGTAGTTCTGAAATAAGAAATCAAGAGAAGTCATGTAAGACAATAATGGAAAGGCACCTTCTACCACAACTTTCTTAAATTTCAGTGAATGAGTAACACTGTAATCAGTGATTTAAATGAGGGTCAAAAATCACATGGGTCATCTGACCTTGCCTTTGTTTGGAGTTGCAGTGGCTGAAAATCACAGATATTTAGAATTATGTCATTACCAGCTAAGGCGAGATTGCAAATAAATAAAATATGGAGACTGATTTCTTCAGTGGCTAGAGTAGTACTCAAATGTTCACATGTGTGGCTTCTTACTCCCTTTTCCCTCAGCTGAGTCAAATCAGTTGTTTTCATGCTCATACATTCAAGTGGGTCAGTGTAATCTCTGTGGTTTTAAATAACATTCAATAAATATGGTAGCTGAGGGGTTGGGAACACTTTAAAACAAGCTTTCTGCTGGAGAAATCATGATGTGAAAAATGCATCCTCTATTACTTGAGACTGCTTGACTTTATCTCATTTTCTACAAATCAGGGTGGGGGGAATTGGAGAGGACAATAGAAAAATAAAACCTGATACTGCAAGAATAACTCTTTAGAACCTATATTTGTATACCTAGATTTGTATGTGAACTAGTAGAAGTATCAAATCATAACTGCATGATTTGTGTTGACAATAACTCAATGGTTCTGTGGACTTACTTTCTCTATGTGTCTAATAAGCACTTGTTCTTTCTTGCAGGGCTATGGAAAAGCAGATCATTCAGTAACTGTAGAGATACTGAAAAAAGTGTATACAGATTATGAAATTACATGGTCAGATGACAAGAAATAAATCGACTACTTATGAGCACAACAAGCAGTTCAAAACTGGTAACTCTGTGAGCTGTACTTTGATAAATAAAATTGAGTCTCTTCTGTGTGTTACCATAAATGTGGAGTAACTGGACTCTGCTGTAATTTACAATACTGTTAGTAACCCCTAGATATATGTTATTTTTCAGATTGTTCCTTTGTGCAGAATATGCAGCTCTAAGCCTTTTCCCTGCTCCTCTTGTCATGACATCTAATTAAGTGCTCCCACATCATCTTACCTCCAGTTCGTTTTCATCCAATCCTGTCTCACTGATATATTGTAGGATACATCAGAATTTTTCCATCAGCTTAAACACCACAGGACCAAACCTGTTCCCTGGTCTTTTGACTGCAGTAATTTGTTGCCTTTATTTTCTATTGCTCTTTAGGCTTTACAACTTTCTCACCCATATTTACAAAAATCAGGGAGGAGGATTGGCTGTTACAGTTCTTTACCAATCTAAATCTTCGATTTACTCCATGGTTCTGAAAATCCAATATTTGTGTTCCACACAAGTAATGATCAAGATCTTTTGTGTTCTTGAAAGATGCTTCCCTATAGCAGACTGATGGCAATGTCAAATTCTGACAATACTTGTTTCATTCTGATTCCCCATAATACTTTTATTCCCCATAAGCATAATGATGATTTTTCCTTTGTTTTATAGCAATAATTATCTTCTCGTTTACCTCCCAGCCAGACCCAGTATGCTTAGGCAGTGTCTGAATTAACTCACAGCACCTGCTTCCTCCTGTTCTGGCAGGATGTTGCCCTTCATTTGTTGTGAAGTTACTTTCTACAATTTTCACTTTGTTTCCTGCCAGTCTTCTCCTGGATACTGTTGTGGGTTTCAAGGGAGTACCTTTTGTTCTCATGCTTATGTTGTTAACTTGTGGTCTTCAAGAGGTATTTGTATATAAATCCTGGTTCTTCCTTTGCTGTGTTTTCTATGGCACTTATCTACCAATATCTGGTGGTATCTAGTGTCTTTTTCTTTTCAATGTGCATGTGACTCTTAAAGTACAAACTATGACATTTGAGAAGCTTTAGTCCAGTTTCCATCACAAAAAAAAAATCCTGCTATTGCTGCCTTATTACACTAATTATCCATCTTATGTCACCTTTCTGTATCTTTGTTTTGATTGGTTGGGCAGAGCGGAATTTCCTGGTCTGGTCCTCAAACCTTTCAGTTCATTCCTCATTAGAAGAGTTCTGGGTATCTCCATTCCAATCTCTATCACCTGGGAGGGGGATCTTGAACCTGGTGCTGTGGGTCTCTTGGTCAGCACTTGCTTCCCCCTAGATGCAGCCTGGACTCCAGTGCCTCTGTGAGCTTTTGCATCTGCTGTTTGCGCTTCTCTTTACGCTCTTGTGCAATAGTCATCTGGCTGCACCACTTCAAATGCTGTGATAACATTGATTACAGGTTTGAGTTTGGCACATGATTAAATCCCTGCATGCCTAGTAACTAAGAATAGCATACAAGTCAATAATTTGCAAATTAGGCACTTCCCACTTCAATTTCCTCATGTTTTTTTTCCCCTAAGCTTTAGTAAAATGCCATAACGGATGCCATTTAATTGGTGCCAGTACACAAAACTGATTTTTTAATAGCCTCATTTCCCAAAACTAGCCAATAGTCTTTGAAGGGAAGTCATCAGTTAAGGGTAGCGCCTGTTAAAACAAACAAGCTTTTTAATTTAGTTTCCTGAGATATTTTATGACTGATGTTAATGTTTCTCTCCACAATACTTATGGGAAAGACATAATTTAGACCGGATTTCTTATTGTGATGACTTTCAAAAACTGAGGGGATGGGGCGGGGGAAGAAAAGGGGTAATGATTTGGAATGAGCTAATAAATTGAGTTACCAGCTGATCTCTACCTTTGTTTCTTCATACAAGAAACTGGGCCTGATGTAAGGGCTTATTGTGTCTTCAAAAAAACCCCAAACTGAGGGACTTCTCAATTCTGTTATTTTTCTAGTGCAATGTCATTTGGGGAAATGCTAATTTCCCTAGCTATTATTAAGTAGTATGTACAAGTTGAGTGAAAGATTTTTATTCCAGATCACAAAGAGAAGCTGGTCACTAGGGTGGTGATGATTTGGCAGGTAGAGGAAGCCTTAATGTAGATTAGGGAAATCAGTATTTGATGTTGAAACACCAACAGAACAACCAGCCTACAAAACTAAGTGTTGAGTTCTGCTGCTTTTCAGCATGTATCTGCTGACTTTTAAGAACAGAACTCATCTGGAATCATGGACATCCCAATGCTAATTTTGCTGATTTCACATGAGGAAAAACATCCTTAATTTTCATCTGTAATTCTGAAATGGGAACTTAATTATACTGTGTGGGGGTTTCCTGTTTTGCAGGTGTGTAGTCACTGTCAGATTGTGGCTCTAGCAGTCTTCACTTGAAAGTCCTAAAAAATCTGATTCTGTATTTGCATGAAAACAGAGTTATGCTTGAGCAATCCAAGAATAAAATGAGGATGCTGAGCAAAGAAGTAGTACAGTAAACCCAAGACAGTGAGTTTGATCATTAAGTATTTTCAAGAGGAAGCATTATTGTAGAAGATTGTAAGTGCTGCCTTTATTAATGAAAAAATACATGAGATCCTTGTTCTTAACTGTATTCGTTGTCATAACGGTCAATGTTTCTTACTACTTCAGGTACCATTCTCTGAAACCGCACTAGACCTAGCAGGTGTAGAACAAGCTATCCAGTCACTGTATCCAAACCACCATTTGTCTTGTGACTGAGGTTTGAAAAGTGGCAAGTGGTAGTCACTTTGTTTCCAACTTCCCAGTTTTGACAAAAAAGAACTGTTAACAAGTACTTTATTGATCTGCCGAAGCTAAATCTTCCTTTTACTCCTCAATCTGTAGTCAGCAGTTATCTGTCATCAGTAAGTCTCGGAGTTCATGCACAAAAATTCCAAAGCGCAATCATGGTCATGGCACAACTGACTGCTTCCCCCCCCGGCTCTGTTATAGTAGTTTCTGAAGCATCCCTTTAAAATAGTCTACTTACAATTGTTTTTGAAATAACAGCAGTTGTTAAGGCTCTTCTGTAAAGTACAGGAAATCCTCTATTCCTCTATGACTCTATTGTAATAGCAATGTGGTCAAAACAGGAATCTTGCAGTCGACTTGCATAGCCTTCATTGACGGGAATTTTATGCAATAATTAAAGTGATTTAGGTCACCGCTGTAGTAAGTTTCTTTCCATCCCTTCAGACTATTGTCCTTTCTCCCCTACATTGAGTATCCTCGCATCCAGTTTGCTGCTGTGGTTCACTGTCTCTAGGTTTATATTTCTCCAAGGGCACCCAATAAAGCACGGCATGATGATAAGCAGTAGCTTTGATATACCTGGTGGAGTTGTGTAAAAGCTTTTTTTGTCTAGTTTTAGTCTAAGATAAAAAGTGCAATGGATTTTGGTTTGGGTTTTTTTGTGTCTGTGAATTGGTGGTACCAAGCACTCAGGATCGGTTGTTGTAGTTCTTTGGGTTTGTTTGCATTTTTGGTAAGGTTATTTCTTCAGGCAACATTTCTTCAGCTTAGGACCCAGAAGCGACCTGTACCCAGGCTTTTCTGAACACATGCTGCCCTGCCAAACTGCTGAAAAGATGCAAGAGGTGCGAGTGTTCAGTAGTACCCCCAGCAAGTTTTGAAAAGGGTTGCAGTGTATGAGTAGTTTTAATTTCTGGAAAAATCTTGAGGGGAAAAAAAAAACCAACCAAAAAAACTGCCAAACCAAACTCAAACAGCCCAAACAAAACCAGTACAGTGCTGCAGTTGGCAATCTGCTATAATAGCACAGTTTATCTCCCTTCCCACTTGTCACCTAAAGCTCAGTTCTGTCATCCTCCAGTTTCCTGGATTGCATTTGTAGGTTTATTGGTTGATTGTTTTAAGGAACTTCTCCTGTAGAGCCTTCTTTCAACTCAGCTTCTAAAACAGAAATCGGGTTTATTATTTCTAAAAACGGTACACCTTTTTCCAATTACTTGCTAAAATTTTCTTAAGACTGATATGTCAAAATCTGAACATGAAAGTTCACAGACTGCAGTAGTAAATCTTCCCAGGTACGCTTTTTCAAAGGCTTAAAGAAAAGTCATGTTTGCATTACATATGGAAACATTACAAAGATTTGTGAGATTGCTAGCGAAATAGCACAGAGGTGATAAATACGATCGCATCCCCCTCTGGTGGCAGAGCAGCAGAGCACACAGGGCCATTCTGAACATCTGCTGCTGCAGCTGAACTGCACCGGAGTTGGAAGCTCAGCCCTTGGGAAGAACCCGCTTCCTGCACTGTGTCGGAATGCTAAATGATCTCCTGCTCCTGTGACACTGCCACAGAATGTGAGGGGTGGGACTAGGGACAGTGACTTCATTTTTAAATATGTATAAATGACAGTTAAATGGCATAAACAGGTGCTGGAGTAAGCAGAACTCCATTTTTAGATGCGAAATCAGACAAGTCCTTCACTTCTAGTCAGATAGCATAAGTTGTCAAACACTTCTGTAACCAGCATCCTTAATTTGTTAAACCAGAATAACTCAACAGAGGGAAAAGCAAAGAGATATGAGAATTAAAACATTGTGTCTTTAAGATATTTTTGAAGGACCAGTGTTTGAATTTTAACTGGAATCTTTAAAGGCCATTTCCATAATACATCGCTGCAGTCCTTTATCAATGATTTTAACTATGCTGGTCCTAAACACCTTTCTTTCTTCAACAAATTTCTCAAAGAGATAAATACCACCACCAACCCCAAAATAATGTGCTTTGCTTCCCAAATACACACGGCCGTTTTTATCCAAGAGCTGAGCCAGGGTATCGTGCAAAGCACCGTAGTAGTCAGGGTTATAGATAGTCTCAGATGTGAGAATTATGTCGTACTTTGAAAAGGTTTTGTTGCTGTTTAACAGCAGCTGGCTGACTTCAGACCACTCTCCGGAAAAGAATCTGCATTTGGTGAGCGCATCAGGCGAGCGCTCTGCTTTCTTGGGCCTCTTCGAAGGAGGCTCGCTCGTTTTTCCATCGCCTCCACTGCCCATCCTACTGCCTTCATTTATACAGTTAGCCACGGTGTTAGGCAAGGTTATTTCATCAATCACTGTGCTGTTGTAGTCCTGAAAATGAACTTTTTCAGCTTTTCCCTTTAACGCAACGATTCCCAGCAGTCCAGCCCCGCAGCCGAGATCCAGTACAGTCTTGTCTGTAAACTGTATTTCAGCCTCGGAAAAATAGTCTATGAGATCGAAGGTGCATTCCCAGATTTTCAGTCCTCCCTCATAGACTCCTGGGATGAGATCGGAGTGAGAAGAAACACTTTTAGACACAATGCCTTCTCTGTCAGCGCCATCCAAACATATCATTTCTACTACAGACATGTTTACATAATACAGGTCTGATACTCTTTCCATGACTTTATTTTCCAATGCTTTGTTGAGATCTTCAGGAATATCGTGCTCCTTGGCAGCTTTAAAGAGGAGCTTTTTCTTGGATGGCATCTCATCTCGCTGCTCATCGGTGCCCGGCCTTGGGCTGGAGTCTGCTACGGGATTCACGATTTGCTTGGTCTTTTCTGCCCATTCCTGTGCGTGTTTTGGAGAGCACAGCTGTAAGTCCACTTTATCATGTGCGTCTGATTCATTGTTCTCGTTTTCATCGATAGAAAAATTAAATCGGAAAGCCATTTTGAGGAATAAGTTAAAGAAAAAAAAAAAAAATCAGCTTAATTTATTACAGCCAGAAACACTCATCTAAGAGCAATACTGACGTAAAGATATTTAATTTTCCTTCTGGTTTTGGTTTGTTTTTTTTTTTTTTTTCTCTGTAGTGATGGTTATGGGGAAGACTGCTTTGCAGGTAGAATATCAGGTGTTTTGCCAATGAATCCGGTGAATTCTGGAAACAGAGTGAATAGTTTGATGCGTCATTAGACTGCCAAATCTTAGCAGAAACGGTCTAGTTGTAGCACCCTGATTTTTCCTTAAAAGAAAAGTAAATTTTCTAAACATTTAAATTTTCAGAAAAGACAGTGTTACAAGCGACCGCATCTCTCACGTAATCCAGATAACAGGGAAATTGAGAGCTGCTTATTCCCGTTAACACGTCGCGTTTCCGACTTAGCGTTTCCAGCGGAAAAAAAAAAAAAACCACACACAAAAAAAAAAACCACAACAAAAAAAAACCCACCA